ATCTAGATTATATATTATAGCTATAAGTCTAGAAATATTAGTTCTCTCTAAAGACTCTACAGCCTAGCAAAGAGTTTAAGAAGAAATTATAATATAATTAGTCTATAGCTATAAGGCTACTACCTTACTAATAGCGCTATAGTACTTATACTCTAAGTTTACTAGAGCCTATACTACTTTAACGCTATCTAGTAGTAGTAAAATAAAAAATAGGCTTTTATTTATAGACTACTAGATTTTATAAATATTATTAGTAAGAAAGTTACTTATAAACTTCTTTACTAAGTTAGCGCTTACTTACTTCTAGTCTAGACTTAGACTAGAGGCTACTAGTTTTCTAAAATACTATATCTCTCTTCTATTATAGTATATCTAATCTCTACTATCTATAGTATAGTTATATTAGTATAGCTTTAGTAAAGATATCTCTACTTACTATAGTAAGTATAGGCCTTTAAAGCGCGTCTAGTATTAAAAATATTCTAGAGAATCTAGTTAGTATAGGCGCTACTTACGCTATACTCTATAAAGGTACTAGAAGTCTTTATAGCGCCTATATTTACTATTTAGATATTACTATTATAGTTATAAGCTAAAAGCGCTAAAAGTATAAAGTTATAATATAAACTCTCTACTTTAGTAGTCTTAATATCTACTATAATAGCTTTATACTTCTAGATAGTACTATTAAAATCTAAACACTAAACGCTTTAGTTAAAAGTAACTACTTATATATGCTTATTAAGCGCCTAGCGCAGCCTAGTAAGCTTCTAGTTACTACTTTAGCTAAGTCTACTTACTTATATAAGAAGCTAGCTAAAGTAAATAAAAAAGTTAGTAAAGCTTTACTTTTTACTTTATTATAAGTAATCTAACTATACTTAGGTATACTTCTAGAAGTGCTAGTTACTATAATAGAACTTAAGATACTTTAGAAAAGTAATAGAGTTCTAATAGTTCTATTTACTAAGCTTATAGAATAAAGTAACTTTATACTATACTATAATTAAAAAAGACTACTAAATATAAATAAACTAGGCCTTTACGTCTTTAATAAACTTCTAGTTTATATTTAACTTATATTTTATTATAATGCGCTATAAATAAAAGTATATTTTATTACTAGTAAATAGCTTCTTTAGAAGTAAGACTTTATAGTAGAAAGTAAAAGCTACTATAGTAGTAGAAGAACTTAGAGATAGTAGTACTATAGCTACTAAAAAGAATAGCGTAGGTACTAATAAAGTTATAGTTATAGTAATAAGTAGTAATATTATAGAGCTAGGCGTAGAGTATATTAAAGTAATAAAGTTACGTAGTTTTTTATTCTAGAAGCGTAATATTACTATTATAATATAGTTTTAGACTTATATTTTATAAATAGCTACTATCTACTTAAAGAGCTAATAAAGTAATATAAGAAGAAAGACTTCTAGAAACTCTTAAATATTCTATATACTAAGTTCTACTATTATAATACTTAGGTATAGCGTATAAGAAGAAGAAATATAAATATTATAAACTAGCCTTAAAGTGTAGCTATAATAAGCGTTAGTAAAGATATTATATTTCTTAGAGAGAGAGCTTATAGTAAGCCTTACTTTATATATTAAGCTAAGACTTAGGTAAAGTCTAAGCCTATTATATTTACTATATATATAGTTAGCGCAAGACTTTTTATTATTTTTTTTTTTATTTTTACTTTTAAAGAGCTTATTAGTAAGATATATAAGCTCTTTAGTAGTTATAGTTTCTTACTTAAAAAAGAGATAAAATAGAAAGACTATTCTATTAACTATTTTACTAAAAAAATACTTTTAATTAATTACACTATTACTATTTATAACTAAGTATATAAAGTAAAAGATAAAGTAATACTACTTCTCTCTTTAGCTTTATAGAAAGCTATACTTTAGTAAAAAAATACTTTAGCTAAAATACTTTATAAAAGTAATAAGAGCTAGTATAGTAAAAATATAGTATTTATAAGTTATCTTATATAGTAAAATACTATTTATTAGATAGTAGCTATAATAGACTACTATAACTTCTATTAAGATCTAAAGAAATAGTTATTATATTATAGTTATTAGCTAGTTAGCTTAGAATAAATACTATAAGGCCTAGTATAGTATTTCTATTACTACTATATTATATAGTTTTTAACTACTATATAAAAAGAGTATATAAATATATATAGTTATAGTCTATATAAGTATTAGTACTAATAGTAATATACACTAAATATCTTAAAATCTTAAAATCTTCTAGCTATTCTAAGATAGCCTAGAAGCTAAACGTCTTTTAATATCTTTTTACTAAATAAAGTCTATAAAATTAAGTATAAGGCACTAAAGTTCTTAATTTAAATAATAAAAAAAATACTTATAAACTTATAAAAAGCTTAAATACTATTTTATAATACTTTAGTACTATAGTAAAGTAGTATTTTAAGTAAGTTATAAATAAAAGCTTTATTATTATTTAATACTAATAGCTTAAGCTATTACTTTAAGTTAAAAAGCTAAAAAAAAAACTAAAATTATAGTAATTATAGCGCTATATAATACTACTTATAATTAGTTTTTTTTTTTTTATATATAAACTTACTTTTTTTAAAATTTTATAAATTACTATAAGTAAATAATAAATAACTTAGTACTACTATATAAACTTTAAAGTAAGTTAGTAAGTTATTATTAAAATAAATTATATAGTATAAGTTAGGTAGTATAGCTAAAAGTAGTAAGGTAGTAACTATTAACTAGACTAGCTTCTAGCAAAATTAATAAGGTGTATTAAAATATTCTTAAAGACTTTATGTTACATAATATAAGAGTAGCTATAACGCGTGTCGCATACATGCTATTAAATCCTAACAACGAGACAGTCTTTGAGGCAATGTATATGTCTAGCTTAACAGCTTTATAGCATGCGACACAAGTTGTAGCCACCCCTAGTGACGACACTACAATACCATGCCGCGTTGGGTTCGCGTAAACCGTCGCGTTGTCCTCACAGCTGATTGTGCGACGCGCCATACTCAACATCGCTCGTCTCAACGAGTCGGATAACCGCGGTGTCATGCGACTCAACAACTGCTTCGTACCGTCCTTTGAAGTTCCCCTGCTTTTCCCCAGTCCATGAGTCGAACACGGTGTATTCAGCCTCCGCATCCAACTCAGGCACCTCCGCGAAGTCGATGGCCTTGGTCTGGGTCACATTCAGTGTGTTCAATGCAAACACATGTACACCTTTGGAAGACCGCCCACTCCAATACTCAGCGGGATGCGATTGGTTCCAAGTCCAGTCGGCGTTGATACCCCACTTGTATGGTTTGGCTGCAGCACCAAAGACTGAATCTTGATTGAAGTCGATGAGCTCCTTGTTGCTCAGAATCTCCAAGATTTCCGGCTCGATGCCGTGAAGAGGGGTCCCGATGATTAGAGGCGACTTCAGAGCAGCCCAGAGGGCGAAGTGAGATCGACTCTCTTGTAGGGTGAGGTTTCCATTGCCAACTTCAAGCATGTCCCAGTCGCCATGACCCCAGAAGTCGGTATCGTTGTTGAAGAAGGATGCATGGTTGAGGATTGGCATAATGCCCCAAGAATACTGATGTTTGTCGTACCACTCTGGGTAGATGTCTCCCCACATGCGCCAGCTATGGCCAGTCGCGTTACCCCATTGCTCGATGTGGGCATGGCCCCAGGCACATTGCGAGTATTCAATCGTACGATTTGTTGCGAGGAGGGCATCACTCATGGTCTTGTACCGCGTGAAGCTCTTCGAAGTCGTCCAATGGTAGTCTGTGGGTGCTGGGACAGGGCGAGCTTCACCGTCCCCGCCGGCGCTTTGGTCTTCGGCTGGCGGACCTCCCAACCAATTCTCTGGCCACCATCGGTACTCGTCGTCCCATTCGTCAGGCACAGCGCAATTATCGTACTTAAGGTCTAACCAGTATGAGTAATGAAAAACTGCTTTGAGTGATAATAGCTTACAGTCGATGCCCCAATCGGCAAAGGTCCTGGCATCTACTTCTTCGTGTCCCAGTGAGCCAGCATATCCACCGCATGTTGTGTCGCCAGCATCACCGTAGATGCCGACTTTCAACCCGAGCTTATGGACCTCGTCTGCTGTATGTTTGATGCCACCCGGGAACTTGGCATAGTCAGGACGGATCCTTCCTGTGCCGTTGTCGCGTTGGTTAGATTTGTCGGACCAACAATCATCTATGTTCACATAATTGTAGCCGAGGTCTTTCAAACCAAGAGAGATGAGAAGTTCGGCGACTTCCAGGATGACGGTCTCGTTGATGGCGCATTCGTACTCGTTCCATGTGCTCCAGCCCATAGCTGGTAGGCGGCCTGTATGTCCATCTTGCGACACCAACGAAAAGCCTGAGCCGGCCAGTGCCAATCCTATTACCAATGAACGCAGTGACATGCTGAATATAGATAAAGGGTATGTTGAAGAAGATTACTAGGCGACAAAAGACATCCTTATAGGATATACTTCTTGTCCAAGAGGAATTGAGAGGGAGGACTGCCGTTCTCGAAGCGGAGAGAGGCTCCGCGACCGCTTTCGGAAAGCACTGTAGGGAACTGCCCAGTTGACATAACGATTGGGGGATTGAAGAACAGCGAAGACATCAATATAATTTTTCCGAAACGCGGACATTCATTGGGGCAGACCGACTCATCAGCGCAACAGCAGCGTGAGGTAGGCGTTGCGGGGGCCAGCAACCGGTCTAGATCGTGGTATCGGCACACAGATTGACGGCGTGATCACCGTGGCCATTTATCTCAAAACTTAACAAGGTGCAGATAACATTGTCTCATCATAGAACAAAAGCTCGAGTAGCAATTGCATGTAGGAAAGAAGCTGAGATTAGACCCTTGGTGTGGTCCTCCGCTCGGTCGGATGGCTGTCGCGCGATGACGTCATGACTAGCGCTTCTTGCGCTTTCCGCAACTGGACACCACCATCGTCCATATCATCAATCAATGCCTGTGGCCGTGATGATTATGGCCATGGTCATGAGAGTGATCGTGACCATGGTCGTTTTCCTCTTCATCCTGCGCCCGCGGCCACTCGGCCCAGTAGCCGTCATCCCACATTTCCTGCAGAGTCTCTTCCTTCTCGTCATCGTCCAACGAATCATCATGCATGACCTTCTCCCACTTCTTCATCTCCTTCTTCGTCAAAAGGCAAGCGTCGAGCATCTTCGTCAACCCGTCAACGTCGAGCTTCTCTCCGATGAATACCTAAAGATTGGTGTAGAGAGTCAGTATTTGTTTCACATGCAGTTCGTACAGCGATCAATCTTACCATTTCTTGTCTACGATCACCCCACTCTGGATATTGGCATGCGAAGTTAGTGGATGTCTCACAAGTACTTTGTGAATGGGATACTCACCGCCCTCGAAGTCGTTCCTGATAGCCTTCAGCGTGTCTTCGTCGGCGCCCCAGTCTTCTTCAGACACGCAGCAGAACCACGGCATCTCAGAGCCGAGTGTCAGCATTGCGCCTGCAGTACTCCACGAGCCCATCTGATTAGGACGCGTGGCAAGCCAGAAGAGACCCTTGCTTCGGTGTAGGCCGCCGAAGTAAGGGCAAGCCTTCTTGTTGGCCAGAATTTCCTTGTCATCCATTTGGGGAATTTCTTCATCGTCGTCGCTGACCTTGTCGGAATCATCTTCGGACGCGCTGGCTTTTCCAGATTCGGATGAACCATCGATGGCGTTGTCGTTGCCATCGTCACCGTCTTCCTCTTCTTCTTCCTCGTCCTCTTCGGCATCGGCGACGTCTTCTGCCTCGTCTTGCAGCAAGATGAACTTGCCCTGGATAAGTCGGTACAGCTTCATTGGGTCGAATGGTCTACGAGCGCGATATACGAAAGAGCCGATGCCATATCTAAATCCGGGTCAGCATGAGTGAAGCTTCCGGTACCGACTGACTTACTCGAGCGTCTCCGGCTTGGGTGCGACACGCTTTCTTCCCGAGACGTCCATGACGGTCATTTCATGCAACGACTGGAGCCATCCAACGCTTGCGACAGCCTCGCCGAAGTTGAACACGCCCGTGTTGAGCATCTCGCGAACGTCCACCTTGGAGTACCTGGCTTCAATGATCTTCGCCTTCGGGTTTAGTGACTTTATGTATGCCCGGACGCGCCCCAGGGTTGCCTTGTCTGCTCTATCGATCTTGTTGATGATGATAACATTGGCAAACTCGATTTGGTCCGCGAAGAGATCGGATATGGTTCGCTGGTCCTCATCTGGAACTTCATCGCGCCCGAAGCGGTCTTGCAGGAACTCGGCCGTGTCGAACTCGGAAAAGAATCGGAACGCATCCACCACTGTGACCATCGTATCAACGGTGGCAATGCTCTTCAGCCCACCGATCTTCGCGCTGTGAACACTCGTAAGCTACTGGATTGTACCACTGCCTTGGATTCGACTTACACTTTAGCAAAGACTTCCTTCTCCTCAGGTTCCAGTCCCTCGGCGTCGATCATTGCCTCGGTAAGCTCGGTCGTGAAGGTCTCCGCCACTTGTTGCGGCTCACTGATACCGGAGCTCTCGATGATTACATGGTCAAATGCGTTCTCGGACCAAGCCAGGCGTGCTAGTTCAACAAGTAGGTCGCTTCGCAATGTGCAGCAAATGCAGCCTGAATGACAAGTTAGCGTATGTCTTGCATGAAGTTCGTACAGTCATTGCCTCACCATTCTCCATTTGCACGACCTTCTCTTTTAGACGTATCTCTCCATTACTGTTCTTGTTGTTGCCACGACTAACGAGGTTTGCGTCGACGTTGACTGATGCCATATCGTTGACAATGACGGCGATGCGCAACCCATGGTCCGGCGACTGTAGGATGTGCCGAAGCAAGGTTGTCTTTCCACTGCCCTACTATTGTCAGTCTCAACCTCCACCTTCCTCAGCTGTTACTTACCAGAAATCCGGAAAGAACGGTCACTGGGAGCGGCTTTCGCTCGGTGGTCTTGTTCTTCGCCTTCATCTCCGCACCGCCGGTCTTTCTACGCTTCGCAGCTGGCATAGGGAATTGCTATAGTCGTCTTTACGTCGGTAACTGTTTTGAAACTCTCTGGAACTTGTTTTGGTGGTTTTTGTATCTGTCTCGTTGACGTTGTGCGCGTCGGCCACTGAGCACCAAGATGGCTCGGTCGCATCAGCACGAAAGTGACGCATCTCATTCGTCGAAAACGCGAGAGACACCAAAACAGGATCTACCAACCTGATAGTAGTAAGCCGTGTTCATCTAGGTGTTAATATGGTAGATCGAGCAAGGCTCCGCACGGGATTGAGCTATGGGGTTGGCTGCCTCGCGAACTAGACCCTGAATAAGCATCTCTGCGCATTGTCCTACAAGACTTCAAATGCACAGTAAGATGCTCTTCGCAGAAAGATTCCGAATAGGCGCTTAGACGAACGTTGCAACACTCTGCTTAGTATTGCCATCTCGCATCGGGCGACGAGTTTGGACAATTTCCGGACGAACTTGAACGAAACTAGATTCTCAACCTGAGCTGTGCCTCGAACTGAACTATACTGCTGATGTAAGATTAGCACTTTGGGGTTTTACGCATCATCAGGTGGGCAAGGCCGCTACATTGTTGGAAATATCAATGTATCGATGTAGACGTTCACGTGGAGGTGTTGGGAGAGCGACCTCGGGAGCCCCTGGAACTTGCGACAGTAGCGTGGATTATGTCATTTAGCTGGCATGCCGCGACGCGTCGCGTCTTTTGCCTCCCTACAACACCACACTCCTGCTCGCGATCGCGTGGCTTCATGTCGTGTTCGCGATACAACTGTCACTAACCTTTCTGCTGGAAGCCTGCGCCATATGCCGTCGTCGCGTTTAACCTCTCCAGAATGTATTCTCCCGCTCGGATGGGTTTGTAAGGACTCTCCTCGCCCTCTTTCAGACACGTCGGCAACGTCTCAATCACCGTATCATAGTTGACTGAAAAGAAGGATGGTACACTGTATCTCGCCTCCGCCGTTCGGTTTACGACGCGATGCACCGTGCTCTTATACAATCCATTCGTCCAGCGCATGAGGAAGTCGGCAACATTCACGATAAGGGTACCGGGGATGTGCGGAGCGATATACCATTCGCCGGAAGGTTTCAAGATCTCCAGGCCAGGCACGGTCGATGCGAGCAGCAATGTGAAGCACTCGTAATCTGAGTGTGCACCGAGGCCGATCTGCGCTTCTTGAGTTGGTGTAGGGTTGTTAGTGAGAGGGGTTTTGGGGGGCGGGTAGTAAAGAAGTCGTGCAATACCCCCAGGATGCGTCGTCATGGAGTCGAAGTAATCTTCGGGGAGATCGAGTGAGAGCGCAAAGAGGCGAAACAAGTGACGGGCGAGATCAAGGACCTAGTAACGGTGAGCATGTCTCCCTACTACCCGATAAGCACCTCTGGCGAATTCGACTCACAGCACCATAGTATTTACGGACGTTTTCATAAAAGCCCGGCAGGTCTTGTTCCTCAGGCCACATGTTGCTCTTCTCTGTTGACCCGTCAAGATTCTTGTATTGGCCATCTCCACCAGAAAAGTCCAGGCGCTCTTCGTATGCGAAGTTGAAGACTTCCTTCTCCTCCTTGTCACCAGCGATGGATGTATACTCGCTCGGCTCCCAACCCAAGCCAAATTTGTTGTTCTTCAGATGCAAAGTCTCTTTCTTGCTCAGCGGCAGTTCATGCATGAAGCGATCAGCCTGATGCAAGATGCCGTCACAGGCTGATTCTGGTATGCGATGATTGCTGATGTAGAAGAACCCGGAGGTGGTGCAGGCTCGACGAATCTGTGCAGCTACCACTTGCCGATCCTCAAGCGAAGCAGAGAATGAAGGGGTCAGATCGATAATGGGAATCTCGAAGTTCTCGTCGGCAACACGATCTTGCGCCAAGAGTCGCGACTGCAGATAAGCGGCGGCGCCATTTCGGGCCTCCTCGTATGTCGTCTGATCCGGCACATGCGCTGAGGTAGTCGCCATGGCTGCGCTCAACGATTCTAGTCCTTCTCGAACCTCGAAGCGATATCGGGAGGGAGAGTCAATGTCAAGGTAAGGCGCGTAGGGCGCGAGGTGATAAGGCGATAAGTAGTGGGGGCAGCTACGGCGATGCATCGGATCTAAGATTCGAGATGCATGCCCATCTGATACTGTACCCCTCATTCCGCAACACAAATCATCCAGCCTCAAACATCCCGTCATGTCTCGATCTCAAAACACCACTGTCTTCACCAACGGTCGATTCTTCAACAGCGGAGCAGCGCAACCCGAAGCACAATTCCACACGACGTTAGCTGTTCAAGATGGCAAGATCAGCTTCATCGGAAGCTCTGAGGACTCCGAAGTCCAAGAACTCTGCAATGCTGGTGCAAAAGTGAGCGATCTTGGCGGGAAACATGTACTTCCTGGGTTCATCGATTCTCACATGCATTTCCTCATGCTCGGGCAATCATTGCACAAAGTGGACCTGGACCACGCAAAGGATCTTGAGGAGATTCGTGCCCGCATCTTAAAGTACGCAAAAGCGAATCCAGATAAACCGCGCATAATGTGCAAAGGCTGGATGCACTCGATGACCAATGGGGAGGCCAAAGCGAGCATGTTAGACGACCTAGATCCCAGACCGATCTACATAGATTCCAAAGATATTCATTCGTGCTGGTGCAATAGCGCGGCCTTGAAAGAGATGGGGGTTCAAGAAATGGAAACTCCTGCTGGTGGAACGATTGAAAGAGATTCAGATGGCAACGCGTCGGGGCTTCTTAGCGAAGCTTGCGTATTACTTATCGTTTGGCCGTGGCTTGCAAAGGTTACACCTCTTGATGAGAAGAAGGCGGCCTTGAGGACTGCAATGAAGGCGTATCATGCTGTTGGCTGCACAGGATGCATCGATATGGCGATGGATGAGAGTGCATGGGAAGCTATACTTTCCCTGCGATCTACCGAAGGACTACCAATGCGGGTGGCTGCGCACTGGTGCATTATGCCTGGCGATGGCGAAGAACATCGCCTGCGACAAGTTGAGCGAGCTATCCAGCTGAATCAGGAGTTCAACAAGAACACTAGCCCTGATCTGAGGGTCGTTGGCATCAAGGTCATCTGTGACGGAGTGATTGATGCGTGTACTGCAGCGCTAGCAGAGCCCTATACCTCGAACGGCCATTTTGAGGGTCCGATCTGGACACCGGAGATGCTCGATCCTGTCGTCAAGAAGGCGATCGAAGGCGGACTTCAATGCGCATTGCACGCAATAGGTGATCAGGCTGTTCACAATGCTGTCAATGTGCTGGAAAAATATGGAAAACAAGACCAGAGGCATCGTATCGAGCATCTCGAACTTACCGCACCGGAAGACGCGAAGCGACTTGGTCAGCTCGGCATAACAGCAAGTATTCAACCAGTTCACTCAGACCCTGCTATCCTCCGTGCGTGGCCGAAGCTTCTTGGTCCAGAACGCGTGAAGCGAGCCTTTGCGTACTCTGACTTCTCGGATCACGGTGCGACACTTGCCATCGGCTCAGACACACCTACCGCACCCTACGCGCCGTTGCCAAATTTGTACGTCGCTACCACGCGCAAGTCGGCGAGACAGCCGGATGCCGGAGACGCGCCTGTCAATGAGAACTTCCGCCTTGAGTTGACACAAGCAGTGACAGCTGTTACCCAGGGTGCAGCATATTCCTCATTTGCAGACGACCGTGTAGGTAGTTTGGAGGTCGGCAAGATGGCGGACTTTTGCGTGGTAGACATGGAGTGGAAGGGGGAAGAGTTGCTCAAGGCCAAGGTCTTGGAAACGTGGTTTGAAGGAAAGCAGGTGTACAAAGCTTAAGCATTGATCTGCTGAGGTAGAAAGCTTTCTGTAGATGTAGCCTCGAGAAATGAAGACGCGAAACGGCCGATGGTGCCTGCTGTGTCAGCCACATCGGGACGTCATCGTGACCCACCTGCACGTGGTATTAGGCGATTGCATCACATACACCAAACAATACTACCAACTGCACTCTACCCAACACCAACGAGACAACGAAAGATTTGGCCAAGGGTCAGCATATCAGTAGATTCCATCGCTCGATGAGCAACCACACCCTCTGGTAAGCCTCGGTAATGACCAAGAAGGCTTCAAAGAAAAAGCCTCGCGGAAGCCTTATCCATGCACCGCATGTGGCGATGAGGATCACACAAATGCGCATATAACGGCATTGCGCACCGAAATACGAAGACATTCTGGCATTGTCAAGATCGGTGTTCACGCATCATCCATGTATCAGCGGTGCGTCTGAAACCAGAGGTGTAGCCCCGCAACCTCGCATGTTTCATACCTCGACTCGACCTGCCCGAACCTCATCGCGAACTTAAGTGCGGAATCCCACTCCGCGTTTCCATAGCAGAAATTCAGTCGCAAAAGGCGGTTTAATCTCCGTCACCTGCAAAAATTTCGCTGCACGGCATTCTAGTCCGTCTTAGCAGCTGTTATGGTGGCTTAGACGTCTAGGAACTATGCCTGGATGACAGCCCATAGGGAGGCATGGTCCTCAGGTGTTTCGCAACCCGATGGACGTCATTCAAGGTGCTCTTCGGATATATTGATCGATCGTCGCGCCCTGTCGTCTGCCCAATTCGAACATCATATACTACACATATATCAACTACTCCGAAGTACATCAGCTCTTCGTTGACACTTACGTTTTGAGTCGCATCGTACACCAAAAGCTCTACTTCAATTCGCCTCTCTTACCTTACCACATCAATCAACAACATGTTGACCAACCGTCGCTCGACCATGATGGTCCCTCCCAACCGCATGCCCAGCTGGCATCCCCACTCAAAAGGCACCATGCCTCAGCAGCCATCATCAACGCCTCTTGCGATCGATACCGAAGCACCTCAAAGCCGCACACCCGCCGTCTTGACATCAACGACGTCCGACCTGCCCGGTCATCGCGTCATTCGCGTCCTCGGTGCCGTCCACGGAACTACAAGCGCGACGCGCAAAGACCCGAAATCCTTCATTAAAAATATTGCAAGCAGTTTCAACAGCAGTTGGGGAGAGGCCAAGAGCGTGACGAGTATCGTATACCAGGCGCGCGATCAAGCCATCGACAGACTTGTGAAAGAGGCCATAAGCAAGGGTGCGAATGCCATTGTTGGATTAGACATTCGGGAAAGCGAAATCATGGGCTGTGTGGTGGTGAGCGTCAGTGGCACGGCGGCTTGGGTTGAGAAGGAGAACCAGGGCAATGTCAAGAGGGATAGCGCGCAAGAGGCTGATCCCTTTCGATGACAGTATACAGAGGAAGAAAGGCATCGGTGTGCAATAAGGCTAAACGGATGTATTTCTGAGCGGGTAATGGGACGATGCAGCACTGGCTTGCCACATCGAGATTTCGACTTTCTAGGGAGCGCGATGTTGAGATCAGGTATTTACTGTGTGTTTAGAAATTTCAGCATTCTTACCACAACTCTTCATTTCCTGCGCCTTTTTCTTTTGTTACTAATCAGACTAATCAAGCAGATAGTGCTGTTGCTCGAGCGAGTGTCAGTGCACTACCCCACAGAGCAGAATCTTTCACAGCGGAGAACGCTCACCCGAAAAATCGAAGCGCTGACATACCCAGCGCGGATTACTCCATCACTTCACATTGAAAGTTCCCGCGCTTTACTGTCGTGGGCATCTTTAGTGTTCAGACAAGAGCAGGATCCCTGGGCGCCAAACCGTCTCATCTCGTACCGCTCGGAGGCTGGGACGCGCTAGTACCAAAGTAGCAGTTTAGCCGCGCATGAGGCCGACACGACATTTTGACGGCGAAAGCACCGAGCTGCGAATGAGCGGAGACCCCAGCCTGCCCCAGGTTCTTTCCCTAGCCTCGGCAAGTGGAGACGCCTTATGACACCAATCCAGCTCCACAAGCAGCTCGACAGCAGTTGAAGACGATGCAATTGCTCTTGTGGACGCCGCGACCGATCATCCGCAATGCCATGCGCCCACCGTGGATAGAAGTATTGGACATGCGCCGCCATTTCCATCAGCCAAGATGTCGGACATCACATAACGTCACTCGAGAGGGGTCGCTGCATCCGCCGGCATGGATGCATGGATCGTCAGGAACTAACCCTCGACTTCATCCAATTCTTCCGCTCGTCTACGCCTGAGTCCTCCAATGACGGGTGGCGCTACACAAGCTCTCTCGCCTACACGCCATCGATCCGGGAAATATCATGACGATTGTACCGGCCCATGTATGCAAGTTGCTCTTGATTCTTCCCGTGGCCAAGGCCTGGCGTGGCTGGAGACCCGCGATGTTGGGGAACGGTTAGTGAGCCGGGATATAGGCGGAGGTATAAGGTCAGGCAAAACGGCGAGTTTTTTGGAAGATCAGCAATTCATCGTCTTTTGATCGCAAAGATGGTGTTTCTCAAAGGGATTGCAGCTGCGGCCTGCGCCACTTCTGCGCTTGCTGCCGACATTATTGTCCAGAACTCTGGAGGCAATCAAACCGGCGCGTTTGGTCACTCTTACGGCTATGGCTTCCTTCACGAGGTAAGTTATCGTCATCATCATCCATGCCAGAATGCCATGTACTGACGTTTTCTCAGGATATCAACAATTCCGGTGATGGTGGCATCTACGCTGAGTTGATCCAGAACCGTGCTTTCCAGTACAGCCAGAACTACAGCGTTTCCACGGACCACTACTTCAGCGTCAATGGCGCTCAGCTTAGCATTCAAATGCTAGACGAGCCGCTGTCTGAGCAGTTGCCGGCATCCATGCGCGTCTCTGCTGGAAACGGAAGCTATGCCACCGGCAAGATTGGCTTCAAGAACGAGGGCTACTGGGGTATGGACGTCCGCCCGCAGACCTACACCGGATCTTTCTGGGTCAAGGGTGCGTACAACGGTGTGTTCACTGCATCGCTGGAATCAAACTTGACCAGCGATGTATATGCGTCCGTTGAAGTGCCATCCAAGTCCGTTGCCGACGACTGGACCGAGCACACCTTCGAGCTCGTTCCCGAGATGGCTGCGCCCAACTCCAACAACACCTTCTCCATCACTTTTGACGGTGCCGCAGCCAGCGCACTGGACTTCAACTTGATTTCCCTCTTCCCTCCGACTTA